GGGGGGATGATTTCAGCTGGAGGCTGAGAGAGCTCCAGCAGGTGCCCAAGGAGCACCTCAGGCACACGAGAACATCTGCTGAGCGTAGCAGGTGGGCACAGAACATCTGTTTCCTGTAGAAGCAAGGGAATAGAGGTAACAATAACATCAGGGGTCTTGTATTCCAGGCACTGGAACTGGCTGCCCAGGGCAGTGATGGACTCCTCATTCCTGGAGGGATTTAAGAGCCCTGTGGATGTGGCACTTGGGGATGTGGGTTAATGCTGGCCTTGGCAGTGCAGGGGAAACAGTTGGACTCGATGATCTTGGAGGTCTTTTCCAAACTGAATTGATACTGTGATTCTGTGATTCTCCTTTATTCACTGTTTTCTCACTGCAGATCCAACAGTTACGGTCAAGAGCAGCAGTGGCTGGTCATGGCACCCTCCAGTCTGGGGAATGGTCAATGTTTGGGTAAGGGAGTGCAGGAGGGGGTGGTTAGCAGGCTGTGGAAGAAGATGGAGGGACCATGAAACACAGATGGATCCACTGGAGCTGCAGTCATGGCTCCAAAGAGACACTGCCTTGCCAGAAGACTGGAAGGAGAGAGACATGGATGAAGGACAGAGCACAAGAGGACAAGAGACAAGACACACGTGCTAAAGGAAGAAGGATGTGGAGACAAGTGACTTTGGAGCCCTTCCATGGCTTCTGGCCGAGGTCTGTTTTCCCAGGTGGGAAGAGGTGATGGCTTGTGAGAAGATGCAGCACAACACCCTGCTCAGGGCAGAGATGGGAGAATGCCAAGAGAATCCAAATGACCAGCAGCACTGAAAACAGCTCTCACTGGCATCACTGCTGAAACACGGGCTGCCTGGGCAGAGGGAGCTGCAGTGTAGCTGTTCTTTCAACACAAAGCAAGCTGGCAGTAATCAATGAAGTCCTGGCCTCCAGAAACCATTTCTTGATCCTGCTGTGGCTGTTACTTTTAGTGCAGAGCTATGGAGAGCAGTGCAGCCTGGCTCAGCCCCAGTGCCAAGCTGGTACACTAAACAACAGCGAGTTCATTGCTAACTACAGGCTCCCACTACGTAACAAGCACTGCAGCCAGCACAGCCAGGGCACAGACAATATTTTACAACATATTTTACAATTTTTTATACAATTCATGGGTTATTTTTTTAAAAGCAGCAGCTGGGCTCCAAGCAGCCCAATGCCAGCTGCTCTCCCAGGTACCCACCGACGTAGTTTTCGACGTCGCTGACGTAGAAGGTGGGAGCGGGCACAGCCAGGCCCAGCCCGTCCTTCTTGGGCACCAGGATGGGCTCTGCAAAGCCATTCTCTTCCAAATACTCTGGTGTTAGCTGGCTGCCTGGGACCTTCACCACAATATCTTCAGCGCTGGAAAACCAAACAGAGGCAATGGTGAGGGGCTTCCACGCTCAGATTGGGGTGATCTGCATGCCACTACTGAAAGGAAGGCAATATGGATAAGGAATTACATACAAATTAGGCCCATAAGCCAAAAGCCAAAAAGTCATATGTTGCAAAGCACAAAGAGCACAACAGAATCATCCGGAATCAATGTCTTGAGCCTCATGCTCCAGCTACTGGGAACTCCTAAAATAACAGCTTGTGGCAAAAAGCTATTTTCTTCAGTTGTAGGATCTGTTGAGCTACTGGTGATCAATGTTAAAGGAATTAGTGTTAAATGTTCCACTCTAAAGAAGGTAAGACTAAAAACATTACCTAATATCAAATAAACTGGGATGGAAATACTTTGCAAATCATTTTAAAGAAGTTGAATAAATTGCTTGGGAAATATTCTGCAGATCATTTTGAAGTGGCTGGGAGGGCTCCAAGGGGAATGAGGAAAGGGCAGCTCCATTGGCCCACCAGCTATTGGCACTGAGAGCTCCCAGGGGAAATTCAAGTCTGGTTTCTTGATCTTTTCAGGCGTGAAAAGTGACTGTACATTTTGGACCAACAGTCCCAAAAGTGTCCTGTCACCATGTGCTGTGTGTCAGCTGG